CGGCCGAGGTCTGCCTGTTCACGCGCGACGAGCCGCGCGCCTCGGCCGAGCACACGGAGCGCACGTACCGCGAGCTGCTGGCGCGCAGCGGCGTCACCGGCGTCACCCGGGTGAGCGACCCGCCGGGGCGGGGTGAGGGGTAGGAGCCCCCTGCGTGGGAGGGGAAACGGAGACCCTTCTTATTCTGCTGTGTCCCTCATAGTGCCCCGTGCGGGCTGTGCAGGTACTGAGCAAGAGAGCCCCCTGCTCGACCTCTCAGTAAAACAGGATCCTCCTCCTTCCATCTCTCACCCTTCAACAGTAGGGAAGGCAAAGCAGGGTGTCTGGGCAGACTGTCGATGCCACGAGTTACTTCCGTGCTGCTTTAAGAAGTATTCTTGGCAGCTTTGGGCGGCCGACACTAAGCTGTTGCTCACGTTGCAGATCATCTCATACAAAACTCTCAAAAGTGAGTACAAACCGTTCGAGGCGAAGCGCCGGCTCATGAACAGATTCGATCTCTTCCTGTCGGATGCCCGAATCAGGAGGCTGCTGCCCTCGCACCTTGGCAAACACTTCTATCGGAGTAAGAAGTAAGTCCCGGAGCTCTGCGGAGCCGACGGGCGGTGTGTCCTGTAAAAGCGAGTCCTGTTAAAGCGTTTGCCCTCCCTGCCCTTCTCTCCTCAGGGTTCCTTTGTCCGTTAACCTGCAAGCCAGCAACCTCGCTAAGGAGCTGAACAAGTACATCCAGGGATCCGTGCTGCCGGTCACCAACAAAGGCTGCTGTTAGTAAGTACCAGGCCGTTAATGCTTCGCTTGGGCTGCTGTACCTCAGCCGTAGGAACACCGAGTTATTTTATTCACATATTAATACAATAAAATAGGTTGAGAGTCACCATATAGGCCCCCGATGAATCATAACAGCTATAATCAAGAAATGAGTAATTTTACCTAGTAAGTCCTACTGTAGGGCACCACTACTTTTTCGTGATAGTTGAGGAATTTCCTGGCAATTGTCACTATCAAACTGCAAATACAATCTTAGAAATGTTACTGTTAAATTGGATAAAAACTGTTGCAAAAGATTTTATTCTTCATAGTCTTTTTTTTGTTTGTCTTGCATCTAAAATCATCTAAATCTGCAACATGCTTAGCAATGTAAGGTAGAAACGACATATCCAGACCCCCCCAAAAAGGTGAATGTAGTACAGGTAACTCTGTTGGGACTTGCTACAAAAGATTACAGTAATAGCAAGCTATTTATTACATTATGATAAGTACAGATAAGTAGGGCTTTCATACCTGGAAGTGCCTAAGGACAGGTCAACCGATGAGAAGTTTGTTAGTTTGTTTTACCCATACCTAAACATCACTCTTGGCTCCTTTCAGTACAGCACGTATAGGACACACTGGGATGAAGGCTGATGAGATAGTAGCAAACGTCGTGGCTGCCGCCGAGGTGATTGCAAAGAAGCTACCAAAGGTACCGCTGCCGGCTGACAGCGCTGAGTTCCGAAGTGCCGTGGCTTCAGCTGCGTTGTTTTTATATAATACACCTTGCTTTTGTTGCAGAACTGGAAAAATGTCAAAATTCTCCACCTTAAAACAGCTAAATCGATTGCTCTTCCAATTTTTACTGCCCAAATCTCCCAGTTGGATGAGCTTGACAGAGAGCCATTGGTCGATAAACAGAAAGAAAAGGTAATTAAAAAAAAAAAAAGTCTTCTGGGTACTTCTTATGCATTATAGTATTTAATATATTGATTTTGGACATGATGACATGGGATCTCAGGCATCTGTGTCTACAAATGGCTTTAGGTACCAATGCTCAGTGTTGCAAGATCATGGAAGCGCCCTCATAGGCTGAAAAGCCGCCCAGAAACAGAATAGTAATAGCCTCTTCAGAGAGCTACAAGTTTCTGCCCTTGAACTGCAGGGATCTGAGGTTTCTTCTCAGAACTTCTTGAATTATTATTGAATTTAATGTTTCTCATTTTCTATCTGAAAAAAACATTCATTAACATATACATGGAGTAAAATTATGCATCCATTACTCATTAGGTTATCAGTAGCATCTGAATAATTCACACACTCAAATATTTACATCTTCCTTTGGGTTTTCACCTGCTTGGAAAAAAAAGTATCAGCTACTCTTTGCACAAATATTTTTTACAGTGTTTTTGTGCCTAAAATAAATTAGGTGCATACATATTCAGTGTACAGACTGTAATCCTGAATTATTGCTGTGCATTTGTGGGGTACTTAATCCCTTTTCATTCTGTCAGTTAGACATTTTTGATGTTTTGACATGGTTGAGCAGTCAGTCAATTAGAACAACAGTATTTACACTGATGTTGCTAGAATGTCGTTATGTCTTACCCATACTAAAACAGATTGCTGTATACTTAGAAATGCTATGGGTATATGTCTGAGATAAACTTGCAATTAATTCTAGAAAGAAAAGAAAAAAAGGGTAAAGAAACCAAAGAAAGCAGGTGAAAAAATGACTTCAGGTGAAGTTGCTGTGACAACTGAAACTAACACTACTGCTGCTAAGCAAGAGCCAGTGGTGAAGGAAAAAGCAGAATTGGCTCAAGAGCCAGACGACGATGATGGAGAAATTCCACAACTGGTGCCTATTGACGAAACAACCGGCGTCGCTCAGCTGAAGGTAATGGCTTAGTAATGGTGAGAAACCCACATTTTGGTTAAAACTGAATATTTCAAACTGACTAAATTTTGGCTTCTGAGGGAACAGTGTGTTTCAGCACACTTCAAGTGAAATAGGTTCTTTTTGTCGAATACCATTAAAGCAAGGATTGAGTATAGGTGAGGAGGAGGCCTTGGGATCTTCTCGATGGACCTCTCTTATGGACAGAGGAGGCCGGGACTTACTGCCCTTCCGAGCAGGGGAGGTTTGGTCTAGCTAGAATGGCAGGTCTGAAGTCAGAAGGAAGTGAAGTGATTGAGAAACAGTTTGATATTTAAATAAGTATTTGTTTTTTTTTTTAAATTAAAAGCTGCTTGTAATAATTAATTCCACTGCTTTTTTTATATATCATCACATGAGAATGCATGTCAGTCTCGAGGGAGGACTAGACTTAGTGCACAGATGCAGTGCAGTCAGTTCATGCCTTTACACATCAGCTCTACTGATCCAGTTCTTTAATTTTCTCTTAATGCAGAAAATGGAACCAAATGAGAGTCTAGGAAAAGGTGGCAAGCTGGGCAAGAAAACGAAAACACCTCTTGGTAAGAGGAAAAATCCGTTCCCTCAGGAGACCCCAAAAACGAAACATAAAGTTACTGCAGAGCAGGCAAGTCTGCCAGTATCACCAACACAAAAACAAGCCAAACAGCTCAACACGCCAAAGGAGGCAATAAAGAAAAAAGAGTTCAAAAAGACTCCCAAAAAGCCTGAAGCAAAGTTTTTTGCAACACCTAAAGCTGGAAAACTAGTACAGTCAGCGAAGAAACCTTCCAAAACACCAAAATAGAAACACAAGAAAAAAATTCAGACCACAACCAGCCTGAGTATTGTCTATTGTAACATTTCATATAATTATTGAAGCATGTCTTTTTAGGAAGCAAATACATTAATAAAAAATGTAACAACTCAGTAAAATCTGATCCTTTTTTTTTCCTCCTTCACTGATTAATTACTGTTTCCTTCTAGTGGAGAGGGTAGAAAAAATTAACACCCTAACTTAGTACTATCTCTTTAACTTTCATTTTCTGGTAGTCTAAAATAAAAGCATATAACATATAAGCATCAAAGGGTGGGGATGGAGCTTTCTTCAAAAGCTGAGGAAATGCCACATAGAGGAGCCTCTTCAGTGTGGCTTGGCACCGGAGCAACTACAGGTTAAAGAAAGTACCAATTTACAATATTCAATCTTGCTGCTGTGGGTTTTCTTGAACTGTTCAATGTAATGAAAACAGGGAGCTGGATCAATTTTACTCCTGGTGTGGAAGACCAGCAGCTCGACTACAAGCAAATATTAATGTATTTTTAGCTATTTTCACCTTGGCATTTGTCTAGAGATTAGAAGTATGGACAATTTAGTTGATTTGGATGTTTATTCAAAATAAAAAACATTTTTAAACTGCCAGCTCTTGATTTTAGTCATATCTATGAAAGGTGGTAAAATGTGTTGGTAGAGATTTTTTTACACTGCATTTTCTTTTTTTAATTGGATTTTTTTTTTTTTTTTAGCATTGGATAGTACAAGAAGCTGTGTGGGTTTTGGGGGTGTTTTTGTTGATTTTTTTCCTGTGTTTTTGGGCACATGCTCAAGAACTATACATGCTATTCTCAGTAAGCCTGTTTTTCCCTTACGTTCAAAGAAAATGTGGCTCAAACAGTTCCAGGCACAACTTGTTTATTTTCCCCTTGTGTTAGAGCAGGGTGTCCTCAGTCCCAGAGGAGCCCCCGGCTGTTCCCTGCTGTCCCTCCCTCGCCCCTCTGTGTCCTGTTGAACAGTCGCTCCTGTCCGGACACTTTTGCCTGGCTCTGGTGCCGGGCTCGGCTGCGTAATGGGAACCGGGATCTGTCTGATCTCCTTCCGATCCACGTTCCTGTTTTTTCCTCTTCACTGACGCAGTCAGCAAAGTGATTTACAATTTTAAATGCAGCCTAATCAATTTAAAATATACATGTGAATTTATTAAACAGCGTATATTTTATATCTCTGTCCTCTTCCACTGCTTAGGCTGTCTTCCCCTTCCTATCCTACCAGATAAGGTTTCTTTACTTTGCAACGTTTGTCATAAGCTGTTTTAATCCTTTTTTAGCATTTCTCATGTACTGCTACGATACTGGCTTTCTGTTTGGAAAGTCCATTATATTAAAAGGCAACTTTTCCCAGGGTTTTTCTATGGTGTCTAATATTCCAGAGAAAAACTGTATTTCCTTTTTTCCTGAACCTCAAAGGATAAAAGTTACCTTGCAAGTAGTCATGCTTATTACTATGGTCTTATCACATATTTGCATTTACTTATTTTGTGAAGCTTTAAAATCACCGAGCCAGACTAATTTTTGCTCGTACGCCCAGCTAGGGGAATAGGGCTCTGATATGTGGGTTTCTGAACACTGCTGTAATACAAATAATAACAAACTGATTGTAATATTTTTCTTCTCATAAAGTATTTTGAGTCTGAACACCATCTTAGTATCAAAAATAAATCACAAATGCATTTACATTTAATGTTTCTATAGTTACATTTTCATATTTTAAATTTATTTCCTAAGTACTCTTTTAACAGCATTCAGCAGATGTGGTTCTTACAGGTTTAAATATTTGGTAATTGTTAAACTTCAGCTATATGCTGGCCATGGAATTGAGTAGCTCGTAGAAGGTTAGATTGAAATTAAACACAAGTTTAGGGAAATTCCATGCAATCTATCTTAAGTCCCTGTTTGTAGGCTGGGATGCAACTTACAGCGTTCTTTACCATATATATCTCTCTAGCTCCTTCCATTTCTTAGTCAACTATTCTTAATAACGCATTTTTCAGAGAGAATGACATGTAAAATATAAATATTTATTCATTGAAAGTGATTTTTATAATCTCTTACACTAAAAAAGGACTAATTCCAATAACTGAGAGAATCCGTTTAGCATGTTGTTTCTACAGCAATCTCTTACATACTTCTTTCCATTTCTGAAAGAAATTTAAAAACATTTTCCAAAGCTACCACATTAGTCTTTTTACTAAGCTTTAAAGCTTCTTATTAAACACAAACAAGATCTCCTTACCTTCACTCACGGGACTTGTTTCTGCTGCCTGAGCAGTTGAGGGTATCCACAAGCTGGTCTCAATACAGTTGTTTCCTCCATCTGAAAAAGACTGAAAGATCTATGGATTTAGGAGTATGCAAGCTATATGAATAGCCACAGAGGCAAAAAAACACATTGCAGAAACAAAAAATCACATATTTGAAGTTTGACAGAGTAAGTAGATAGTTGTCTTCCTCCGTGATTTATTTGCCCTCCTCAGAGTGAGAATAAAAAGCAGATAGTGACGTAAAAAGCTTTCTTAACGAGATTTTATTCAAGTTCGGATGAGGAAAATGTTAACAAAAAAAAGATTAGGCAAGTCTGTAACCAGCCTAGTTTGCCAAGTCCTGAAAAACCTATCCCATCCATTTCCTGCTTAGGACATCCTTTACCCATAGCTTTGCTGTCTGTGAAGTACCAGAGCCGCGAGCGGCGTGTTCGTGCTCCCGTCACCCACGCGAAAATAAAACCTTAGTTTCTTGGTTTGTGGATGAGCAGAGATTATGATATGAAGATCTTAAAGTCTGTATGAGTAATTTATAGGGCAACACAGCAGTTTGCAGGGACTGGAAAGAAAAAAAAAAAAAAAAACCGTCACGTTAGAAAAATGAACAGGAACCGCCTTGGAACATAATTCCCTGGCAGCTTGAGGCAGTCCATGCCTCTGGAATCCACACAACTAGGTGGTTAGACATGGGAAGCAGCTGATCCAGCTACAGGCTCCGCCATGGGGGGAGGAAATACAGAAACACAGAGACTGCTATAGCCAAATTTGTCCTTTCTCTGTTGCAGCGTAACCTGGGACTCTGGCAGTTAAATAGGTAAGATACAGCGTTACTGATGGGATTTTCCTCTTCCTTTAATCAGCATATCCTTCAGCTAAAAAAAGTTAAAATCAGTGAGAAATAATTGGACACAAATATTGCAGATGTTCACTTAGAGCCATTTGCAGTAGTCACTCCTGTTTACAGGCAGCAAATTACCATTGTTACAGGGACTTATACTCCCCAATTTCCCAACAAATTATACATACTGAAGATCAGCATTGGCTGGTGAAGGAGTTAAATTCATTTTTTTTTTAATTCAGGAAACTATTTCTTATTAATGTTTCTCCTGTGTGTTTAAGAGGGTTAGGAGCTCTCGCCACTTTGCTAATCAGGAAAGGAGGAAATAAGAAAAACCACCATTCATTCCAAGTAAGTTGAAGCTGTGCTGAGTGCGGCTGTGTTACAGAATCAAACCAGGTGTAAAACACACCTGTTTGCAATTTGCTAATTCCAGGCAACCACCGGTAAGGGTCAAACCACCACTTAACTACCTTAATATAACTGTGGATTAAAAAAAAAAAAAAAAAAAAAAAGTGATTTTTCTGTGGGTTGTCAGTGGCAAGATGGAAAACACCTCCCCAGGGGCTGAGCTGCTTTAACTCTGCAAGACATGTTAGCGAGTGTGAAGTTCAGTCTTAAATGAGCAGCCAGCATGCAACAGTCAAGGCTGAGCCTATGTAAGGACATTTCTGGGAATAGGCATCAAGACACTAAAATAAATCAGGTACGTTCATGTGTAAATACTAATAGATATTTATAGACCAAGCATTTTTGTTCCTGCAATTCCTGTACTGATTTGGCTGACTTTGGAAATAGAATGTGAAGGGTTTAATAGGCATCTGAATCATTATTTAAAGTACTGTATCTTTGACCTCACTTTTTTCTTTTTTTTTTTCTTCAAAAAATGAATGGATAGATAGGAGGAGCTAACTAAAGAATGTTTTGGAGCAGCTATCAGAGGTATGAATCTTGTAATAAAGCTAAAGTAGCATAAGTTCTCTTGGGAGTCTTGTAATTCTGAATTTAAAATAGGGACTTCAGCCAAAAGTGTTTAACTCATCTTTCACATGAACTTAAACTTGCTTTATAGATCCTATGCTTTCCAAGTAATTTATGATGGTTAATACTGACTTGCTTAAAATTCCTTCTACGTTATCTTTTTATCCTGGTGCAATTAGGTCTGACTTTTAACCCCAGTAACCTAATTAAACAAACCAGTCATGGCTGTTTCTTGTAGGGTGCTATGTGATTATCAGAGCCTGCTGTACTCAGGATCCTAACGTTAGCTGGACTGCCCAAAAGCCATCCTGAACCAAATGGAGTAGGAATAACGAGAATTAGGTGGGCATATGAACTTCCTTTGGGAATCTGGGTGACAGGCAATGTTATCTTCCTTCCCCAGGGCTTTTGAGAGGTCTGAAGTCAGATAGTTACTTGGTTCCCTAATGCAAGGCAGGAATAGAAACACATCATAACGGGTCTTTTACTGAAGCTACATTTAAACTTTAAAAGCTGTAAGATTAACAAAATAACGGGGGAATGGCAGAATGGGCTTTAGGTCCTAAAAGTGATTATTTTTGAGATAAAAAAGTCTTTATGGGTTTGTTACTGCCCGTTCCAAAGTGAAGAGTAATTTATTACCAAAGGAAATTAATAGCGTGGGGTATTTCTGTTTTGTTCTTTGTTTCCTTTCACAGGACCTCCCCTTGGGGTACTTAAGAGCACCTTTTGAGGGATAATGTCTGTAACAGAGACAGCCCCTGCTGAGGAAGCGGCTTCACCTCGCTCTGATTTCCCGTCTCCTGTGCGACTGGAGATCCACGAGGCAAATCCCGATTTCCCGTCTCCTGTGGGGCTGGAGATCCGTGAGGCAGATCCCGCGTGGGGCACAGAGAGCCCCTGGTGCTACTACAGCCGGCCGGCCACGCTGCTCGTGGTCGGGGGGCTGCTCGTGGTGGGCAGCGCCGTCATGGGCGCGCTCCACTTCGCCCGGCGCGCCGCCGGCCCGCACGCCCTGGGCCCGGTGTGCCTCTCCATCGGCCTCATGTTCCTGGTGACGGGCATCGTGTGGATGCCCGTGGCCGCCCAGACCGTGAGGCACAAGGGGCTCCTGCGGGCGCGCGCGAGGAAACGCGCGGCCACGGGCAGCTCTGGCGCCTGAGGGCTTCCCCGGAGAAGCCGCCTGCCAGCGGATCGGTGCCGCACGAAGGGACTGCGCTGAAATCTTGTCCTCCATAAAGCCGTTTCACTCGCTGGATGTTTTCGTCTTTACACGTGTGTTTTTAACCTCTCCCGGGGCTCCGCTCGGAGGTGGACCTGGAGGCGGAGGCTCACCTCGGAGCCGGAGGTGAAGGCCAGGCCCGGCCTGTCCCTTGCCGGACACGGCGGTGACTCGCGGGGTGCAGGGA